GTAAACACACACACACACTGTGAGTAGACAGACACACAAACACACAAACACACACACACTGTGAGTATACACACACACACACACACACACACACACACACACACACACACACACACACACACACACTGAGAAAACCTGCAGGATTTTATTTCATCCCATCCTGTTCGAGTAAAGAAAATGTTTTCACTGCTTTCTCTACTGGAATCCTTAAACATCATTTAATACTTCACAACCTCAGACTGTAACACCGCTGTTGAGAAAAACAAATGTGCAAATAATTAAAACAATTTACTTATCATACAACTGTCTGTTACACTTACAGTATATGTCCACTTTAAAGTAAACTGAAAAAACTGCAACGTTGACGTTAATGTTTTATTTCAATATGATTCACTTAACTGCAATATTATTAAGTTGAACCTAATATGTATTTAAAGATAATATTATTGGTTTCAACAAACTAATACAGTTATGTGAAATGGGTGGACTAAAAACGGAAAAAGTCAACTTTTTAGTTTAAAACCAGTCTCACAAAGTGTCCCTTTTTATACTTTAACTTTGTATGTGTACTTATTAGATATCATTTGTTAAAGGTGGGGTATGTCATTTATTTAAGAAACACTTGTTGTTATATTCCATGGAATGCTCTCAACATCCCGATAGCAATGAATATCTTGAATGCTTNGATAATTAAATAAACATTAAAGGTGGGGTATGTCATTTATTTAAGAAACACTTGTTGTTATATTCCATGGAATGCTCTCAACATCCCGATAGCAATGAATATCTTGAATGCTTTGACAATAAATACATTAAAAAATGTCATCTGTGGAAGCCGTAGTACTGTAAAAAGCACGACCAATCATCTGAGCCGGCCCGGCTAAAGTAACTGGATGGCCTACCTGCCTGTCAGCCTTCCATCTGTGCACAAACTTATCTCGTGCCCTCATTGGTCATGTGCACGTTCGTGTGTGTTGGAGGAGGGGCTCTGTAAGGAAGTCTGAATGAAGGGGCAGATTTTTATCGGTTAAATAGAGATGGCAAATCCGGATCCTTTTATGGACTCAGGGTCTTCTGAGTCAGTCATTGAAGAGATCCGGATCATACGAGTCATTTGAGTCATATGAGTCAGCATCACAAAGACAGTAGAAATCCTATCTGTGAAACCGAAAACTTGTTGCATTTCACGAGCATATTAAACTGACGTTATATTAAACTCCGCTACACGTCTTTTGCTTTAATAAAAAATGTTGATCACAAAAAAAAAGGGTCATTTTGCGATTTTGCGAATCTGAGGCTGCTGTTGACTCCTAGCTGCATGACGACGAGTCTGCTGGATCTCTGGATCTGCTGCTATACGGTTACGGCTCTGAGTCCGCACGAGTCTGCTGTGTTTTGCAAAGTGAGTCAGGATTTGCGAATCTCTGAGTCTGCTGCATATTCCATACCCGGCTCCCGCGGCTCTGAGTCCCCACGAGTCTGCAGGAAGTCTCACTGATCCACGTCCCCTCCCCTAAGCCAAGCGATAACTTTTGGAAGCTATACTTGCTAAAGGGTAGGCACTAGGGGTTGGCAACCCACGGCCCACGGGCCGCATGCGGCCCTTTAAGCCCTCTGCTCTATTTCAAAGTGGGCCCATTTTAATAATATTTTTTTTTTCCTTCAAATGTGCAGAGGACTCCCCAAGTGCTGTGTTTAATTTATTTTAAAGTAGGCCTGTGTATTATTTGTAATTCTCCTTATAGGAGTTCTTTGTTTCTTATTGGAGGTTAACAGTTGTATATAAAGTCATAAATAGCCTAATAAATGCAAAAAAACTGTAGTTTTTGTCTGATATAACAATAAATACAACTTTATTAACTATCAAGCTATGAAATATGTTTTGCGTCTCCAGACAACAAAAATGTTTCGGAAAAAGGAGCAAAATGGCTCTTTTGGTCAAAAAGGTTGCAGACCCCTGCACTAGGCAGATGGACTGGGGTATACGTTGTAATTTTATTTTACATGTTAT